GTTGGTAGGCTCAGATACCATTTTTTTTCCTTCTACGTACAATGGGGCACAATCTTATCACACTAAGTTACACCATAAAAATGAGTAAAATGTTTCAAAAGTTTAACACTCATTGTCAAAAAAATGGTCGCGACACACATAGAAACCTGTAATTCTGAGGTAGTGTTTTGCTAAAGAAGCTGCTCTGTGAAAAATGGCCATACCTGTGGAAACTTGTAGCTGTTCAAAATGTGGGCCATCTGGAGAGAGTTTTGAGAGTGGAGGCCTCCAATGATGGGCAAGAAGTCTGTCTTCTTCCTTCCAGCACAGTTGAAGTTGATAGGGCTCCCTTGGTCCAGAAACAGATGACCTAGAACATGTTTACTGGCCTGCCTGACACTAAAAAATTTTTCATAAAATCTCAGGACTACTGAAGTGTTGGGGAACTTTCTGTTGATCTCATGAACAGCAAAAGACATAGAAAACCAGTGCTGGAAGTTTTTGAGTATTATGCTAGAATAAAAGTGCATAAGTTCATATAATTATGTCATCAAATGAACTACATGCAGTTGAAAACTATGTGCATCAGTTCATCGATTATTGCAGAGGCGGTTAAATTTAGATTTCAGTGAAAAACACTTTCTCTTATTTTTTACATTATCCTCAAATCCACTGATATATAAGCCAAAGAATAGGAGCCATGCATTTCAGTCATTTGTAAGATAGTATGAATTATTTCTGTCCATATCATCACATATTGAATTTCCCATTCAATATGACTTTCCCATTATGTGACTGAGTTGGAACTCTTAGAGCTAAGAAGCTGTACATGCCACATTTTTGACACATATGAAAAGCAATTGCTTTTTCATCCTGGAACAAAAGTTTGGATGCATTTGTAAATTAATTTTTCTAAACTATTTGATTAATATTAATCTTGCAATGTAAAAACTATTCAAACTTTTTAGGGAGAGACTTTCAGCAAGGCAAATGGTTTGGAGAGGATGATTGAAAGTCCTTTTCCATACAGATACAAAGATCATTTTGTACCTTTATCTACTTAAGAGACTCTGCCTAGGGACACCAGCATATAAAATCATTAGTCAATGTTGGCTGGATCTACATTATTCTTGGTCCATAAATTATGCCACCAGGTATAAGAATTAAACATGTAGGTCACATTTTGCAGCTTCCTTTTCTGCATTCTTGTGGAATAATCTTCCCCAGAACATTGTATGAAATGAATTAGTTTCTCTAGTTCTTTCTAGAATTGCTGTAAAAGTTAATTTGTAACTAGATACTTCAATCAATAATTTGATTATTATAATTTGTAATAATAAACAATTTGATGGAATGATATGAGATCTTGGAATTGTGTTCCTTTAAAATTCTGGTGACTAGAAATAGTTGTGATTGCCTGAACTTCAGTTTGTGAATTCTGATCCTTATTAGATCAATGTTATAAATGTGCCCAGTATTTATTATACTGAAAAGAAGTATAATAATTTTTTCATTAATTATCTGGTACTTTCATTGTTGAGATGAAGAGGAGAACAGCATTAGAGAATTGTTTCAAAATTCAATTTTTTTCACAATTTATGTTAAAATGTATTTTCTTTATTTCTTGATCTGTAACATGATCAATTTTAACATGCACAGAATCCCACTTTATGTTTTCTAAGGGCCACTTCTCAGTTTAGCAGATAAAATGTTTAAGATCAATACATATGACAGTTGAGAGCATGATGCCACATTTGATGCAAAATTATCTACCTCCATCCTACATTCTATCACCTTTTTCTGAAGTTGCATTGCTCTTCATTTACAGATGAAAGAAGTGCTTACTATCTATATCTAGAAGAGTATGGACCTTTTCTAAAATTCTCAATGACTTCATTAGTATATAGAAGGGAAATAAATTCCCCAAGTATAAGGTGACCAGATTTTAACATTGGTAAAGCGGGACATCATTGACTGGGGGGGGTCTTGATTAAAAATTTGGTCTATATGGTCCAACCCTTTAGGAAAAAAATCCCAGGGGTCTTCAAACCTGACAGCTTTAAGACTTGTGGACTTCAACTCCCAGAATTCCTCATCCAGTCATGTTGCGGCGATGTCATCTGCATGGATCTGCTCCATATTCAGTTTTTTTCACTGGGGGCAGGGCTGCCGCTGAAGATGCCGACCAGCCCCCGCCACCACCAGAATAACTGCTGCTGCCTCCTCCTCCTCCTCCAACAGCACCACCACATTTGCTGCCTAGCACTGCGGCTGAGGTGAAGCTGCCAAAGCTCCCGCTGGTGCCCCCGCCCATGGCAGCGGTGGTGGTGCCTCCCCCTTCACTCAGAGCACCTGATCTGGGCTCCGCGTTACCCCTGCCGCTGCCTCCTCCTCCTCTGCCCTGCTTTTGAGAAGCCATGAGGCCTTTTTTTCCTGCTCCCACCCCCTCCCCGCCTTCCTACTGGCTCCCGTGGCCTCATGGATCCTCAAAAGCATGGGGAAGGAGGAGGGGGAGGGGTAATGTGGGGCCCAGTTCAGGTGCTCCATGTGGAGGGGGAGGCACCACTGCCACAGGCAGAGGTGCCGGCAGGAGCTTTGGCGGCTTTACCTCAGCCCAGCATTAGGCGGCAAATCCGGCAGCGCTGTTGGAGGAGGAGGAGGCGGCAGCAGATATTCCGGTGGTGGCAGGGGCTTTGGGGGTTCACTTCAGCCGCAGTGCCTTGCACGAGCAGCTAGGATTAGTCGCCCACAAAGGACAAAAACAAAAAAAGGCACTCATAGATAGATACACTCATGTAAGTGAATGAAACTCAAAGACCAGATACATGCACTTCCCAGCCAAAGCTCAGAAGAATAAAAATGATTTGATTGTATGGTTATGGCTGAATATATTGAATAATCAAATTGACCCTATGGACATTCTGGGTCATCTGGGTAATTTTGAAAAATAAAAATAAATTCAAATTAGATTTTACCATTAAATTATCTTCTGGCCAGATATTGTTTTGTATTAAGATGTGGATTCAAGATTATGATGTAGCACTTGGGGAGAAATATGCAACCTAAAAGACCTGCAGTGGAAGCCAAGATGGAGAAGATCTCCACAGCCACCATATATTTCCCTTTTGTGCTCAGATAGGCTGGGATGAAGGACACCCAAATGCTGCAAAACACCAGCATGCTGAAGGTGATCAATTTAGCTTCATTGAATGTATCAGGCAACTTCCTTGCAAAGAATGCCACAGTGAAACTGATGGTGGCCAGCAGCCCCAAGTAGCCGAGGACAATATAGAAGATCATATCTGAACCTTCATTACATTGCACAATAATTTCATCATTTTGTGAATTCATGTCCAACTCTGGGAAGGGAGGAGATATGATCATCCATACCACACAGATAACAACTTCTGTGAAGGAACCAAGGAGAATGGTTGAGCCTGCCAACCTTTTTCCTATCCACTTCCTCATTGTATATCCTGGCTTGGTGGCCAGAAATGCTAGAACAACTGTGATTGTTTTGGCCAAGATACAAGAAATTGAGATGGAGAAAATGATACTAAAGATGGTTTGCCTGAGAAGGCAAGTCACTTTCCCAGGCCAACCAATGAACAAAAAGGAGCAGAGAAAGCAAAGGAGGAGGGAGGAAAGAAGGACACCTGTGATGTCTCTATTATTGGCTTTGACAATGGGGGTATCCCAGTGCAGAAAGAAAGTCAAGGCCACCAAAATGAGGGTAGCTGAAAAGAAAATAATCAAGGAGGTCAGAATGATTCCTAAGGGTTCACTAAATGATAAGTAGCTGAATGTTTTGGGAAGGCACTGGTCTCTTTCTGCATTTGAATACTGATCTTCTGGGCATCTCTCACATTGATCTGCATCTGAAATAAATGAAGAGGGTCTTGTCATTTCCAAATATAAGGAAAAGTAACAGAGGTAACATAGAGAAATCATACATGGTGAGTCCATTCACATAACCCTTTCCACTTACAGATAGTCCTCAACTTGCAACCACAATTGGAACTCGTTGCTAAACAAAGTGATTGTTAAGTCATTTTTACCAACTAATCCATTTTTACCAAGATTGTTGCTATGAAAATCAATTCACAAGGTTTTCCTTATCAAAAGCCAGCAGATAAGGTCTCAAATAGTGATCACACAACTCAGGAAATCTGCAACCACTGTAAATACATGCCATTGCCACGTGCCCATCTTTTGATCAGAAGAACCTGGGTATGCTGGGACAACCTTAAGTGTGAGGCCCAGTCACAAGTCCATGTTTTCAGTATTATTTTTTACTTTGAATGGTTGCTAAACAAATGGTTGTTAAGTCAAAGACTATTTGTATAAAAATAAAGCTTTTGTAATTCTAAACATTTTTTTTTGCCTTATCCAATGTACACAGTTTACTTTCCACGCTATTTGAAGGCCATTTTCTACTTCCTCTTCTCTGAAATCCACTGCATCTCTCAGCGTAATGAAGGATAATATAAAAAATGCATACGTATTTAAATTACCTCCTTTTAAAAGTAAAAAAGCTACATTACCACCCTTTGCCTTATTCCAGAGTAGCTGAGAATAAATCTATTCTTCTACATACAATAACACATTTGGAAAAAAAAATGAAAATTTATAGGTTTGAAACAGAAGTGGGTTGCTGCTGGTTCACCCTTGATTGGGCGAACCGATAGTGGCAGTGACAAGAGGCTCTGCCCCCCCAGATGCTTCTGCACATGTGTAGAAACATCACACAATTGCGCGATTGCATGTGCATGCATGCACGAAGTGATAGCAAAATAAATTGCAACCCACCCCTGATTTGAAAGTTTTTGAATTTCCACATATATCATTTATTTTTAACTTGCCTGTTTGGACTGAAATTCTTCCTTCAGCGCATTTTCTGCAATTGTAGCAACAAATAGGTTTCCCCTCCTCAACAATCCTGCTGTAGCCTTGATGGCAGCTCTCCACACATCTGGCCTTAGGAGGGACCTAAACATAAGGGTCAGGAAGGTTTATGAATAGAATTCACCAACCACTTCTTCAAACACTTCACTTTTGGGGGGAAGTTAGGAAGGGAACTGGTTATAAATTTGCACTCTGCAAAACCTTTTGAGGTTGAGATGTCACAAGTTTCTCTTGGTTGTGAAGAGGGTTCCATATTTCCAGCATGATCATAATGTAATCACCTTGAAATGGCTATTTTAAAAAACTGATTAATGTATTGAGAAATTGGTATTTCAATGTTTCCCTTTTCACTAGTAATCAATGTGTACAACAAATGCAGATAAAGATCTCATAATATTTTGATTTGAATTCAGAAACGTCAAGTGCCTGAATTTTTAAATGAGAAGCATACAAAGCACATATCCAAGATAGAACTATTGTTTATCCATCATATAAAAACAAGATTCAAAATTACAGGGATAATTGAAAGATGACAGAAACATTTATGCAACTCAGCATAGGAAAAAAAATTCATGTAGATATTTCCATAAAGACCAATCAAAATATACAGCAAAACCACAAACTCCATAATATCATCCCTGTCCTTCACCTGTGCACTTTCAGGTCATCAGAGAAGACTGTCTTCTCCAAAAATAGTCTACTTAATTATGTTATCTCTAAATGTCCCACCTGTTGAAATTTGTGATTCCACACAATGGCACTTTCATTGAGAGTGAACTTTTTCCCATCAGGAGCTCTTGAGTCCATCCTACCAACACGGACTCTTTGAAAAGATTGATTCCAAAAGACGACCAAATTGAAGATGTCATAGCCGGGATCAAAATCCCCCTTCTCATCAAAAAAGATTTCATCTCCTGCACTGTTATTAAAACGGACGTTTCTTAAAAAGTAGTGAAGCTGAATTGAAAGGAGAGATAAAGCAAGATCAAACCAGACCTATCTCAATCTTCCTCCAAATTTGGCAACATTCACAATCCCAACAGAGTTTCTGTAGTGAAGCTTATCAGTATGTAACTGAAATCCATTCTGCATAGATTCAGATATCACTTCAACCCATATACTACAGCCCATTTGACAATTTGGAATATTTTAACATCCTTTGTAAAAGACAAAGGCGTCAAACTATTATCTCTTTTTCCAACTTTTGCCTAAATAAACAATAGGAAGAAAGAGGCCGCCCCACATAAATATGGGAAAGTACTGTATCTCTATTCCCCTATGGTAAAGAAAAGGAAGCACGGGGGACTATATTTCTACATCTCTCTTCTTCCTGAATTACAACCTTGCAGAATTTATTTCAACTTTAGTCGATAAGTTTCTTCAATAAATATTACTTAAATATTTTGATATCTCAAAAACTTAATTTAGCCTTTCTAATCCTTTATATCCCATATGTTTGGACTGATATAATTGTATCCTGCACCTAATGCAAAGGAAGGACTCACTAGAGAAGAGCCTAATACTGGGAAAGATTGAGGGGAAAAGAAGGAGATGACAGAGAATGAGGTGGCCGGATGGAGTCACTGAAGCAGTCAGCATGAACTTAAATGGACTCCAGGGGATAGTAGAGAAGAGCCTAATGCTGGGAAAGATTGAGGGGAAAAGAAGAAGGAGATGACAGAGAATGAGGTGGCTGGATGGAGTCACTGAAGCAGTCAGCATGACTCCAGGGGATGGTAGAGGACAGGAAGACCTAGAGGAACTTTGTCCATGGGGGTCACAATGGGTTGAACACGACTTCGCAACTAACAACCACAAAATTGTATCCAGAGTGTAAGGTCCTCTGAGCTAGGTTGTTTTCTTGCAAAGACAACTAAAGCCCTTCAAAGCATCCTAATCCAAGAATGCCAGGGGATTTCTAGAAGTCTGCCACTCTGACAAATCAGCCTTCTATAGATACATAGACATTTACAATATCTATCGGCTATGCAAAAGAGATAGTCAAGCACCCAAAAGAGAAAAAGATTCCAGCACCTCTCCACCAATAATCAACACAACCTTGAGTCCAAGGTTAATGTCAGACCACAATCAAGTAAGCAATACCCCAATCAAGAAATTACCAAAGAGCCATTAGTAAACAGCCAAACCAAAGGATCTCTAAGATCATCCCCACCCACACAGACAGACACCAGAATATAAACTGACAGCAAACAGCACTCCTTACTAGCTCTGATGACGTTACCTAGTTAGGATAATGAAACATTGGCCAAAAAAAAAAAAACAACACCAAACCAACAAGCTCAAAAAGCACCAAGAACCCATCATTTCAGTCATGAGCTACAAATATTCTCCTTTATCGATATGCAGTGTGTTACAATGACATAAGATTCTCTCAACTGGGAGAGGAATTCTTGTAATGAAAGCACAATCCAGTTAGAATTATCTCCTGGAGATTTCAGAACCATGTAGGTTTCTTTTCAACAGGGAAGAAATGGCTTCTTAGTGCTTCATCTCAAGATTTATTTTTTTAAATTCCTAGGCACATGAAGGGAATGTGGTCTTAGTTCATGATCTGTCTTCAATTTATATTCCAGGTCGAAACCTGATTGATTTCTGAGCCCAGATAAACCTGACCAGGTGCTTATTTAGCTAAGAATAGGTAATTTAAAATTGGGGAAAATTCACTCTTAGAAAGGGGGAATGCATAAAATCATTTAAAATTAAATTGCACACCACCTCAATTAATCAATCACTGCAAACTCCCAGGACAACTACTAAAACACTTGCTGAATCAGAATTTTGTATACTGTGGTTCTTCAAAGTTTGTAAATGCATCTGAATTTTCAATATTTCTGCAAAAATGTGGTGGAATCGCCTGCTGAAGAAGAGGAGGCCTCCCAGTTTGGAGGAAATGACTCAAGTAGCAATAGCTATAGCAGTTAGACTTATATAGCAATAGCAATAGCAGTTAGACTTATATACCACTTTATAGGGCTTTCAGCCCTCTCTAAGCGGTTTACAGAGTCAGAATATCGCCCCCAACAACAATCCGGGTCCTCATTTTACCCACCTCGGAAGGATGGAAGGCTGAGTCAACCCTGAGCAGGTGAGATTTGAACCGCTGAACTGCAAAACTGCAGTCAGCTGAAGTAGCCTGCAGTGCTGCATTTAACCACTGCACCACCTCGGCTCTAAGTCAAAGCCTTAGCCCCATACCTTCCATTTTCCAAGGGAAAGCAGATAGTCTAGCAAGATTCTTATAATATTAACAATAAATATCCACTTTGGCCAAGTAGATAAAGACCTCCAAAAATTATTGTTGATGCTCAACAAGCTGGAAAATTTTAATGAAATATTTTCATAGAGATTTTATTCTGTCAATCCGTGGTCAGGCAATTGTGTACAAGTGGAGGTACAGTAACCCAACTCCATTGTTGCCATCCACAGAAGTGGCCAATTAGCCAAGCTCTTAACAAGAGCAAGGTGTGTAATACTTAGATAAAGAAAATAGAACAACAATTACATTCAAGACTGAATTGCAAGGAGAAAGCCATTGCTATCTAGATGGGCACTGGTGCCCATCTACATTTTGTAAAAAAAAAAAAAAATTTAAAAACTAATCTCACCAGCAGTCAGTGAGAAAAATATTCCAAGAAAGAACTTCTTTATGAGCTGATTTGAATTGGAAGATGTCTCTCTGACTCTGTGACATGAGCTGCATTAGTAGCAGAATTGCAGACAATTCTTAACAGTTAATTAGTTGTTGCAGAGAAACAAATCCAAAAACTTGGATTCTCCTTATCTAGTTTTGGACTCCTGTGAAGAATAGATCATGTTCGAGATCATTTTTTTGTAGACATATTGAAAATTTGTAAGGATTCACAAAGATTTAAGAATTCTTTGTAAGGATTTGCAAACATTTGAGAATTATTTGTAAGTATTTGCAAACATTTAAGAAAAATTGTAAGGATCCGCAAACATTTAAGAATTATTTGTAAGGATTCTCAAACATTGAAGAAAAAATTGTAAGGATTTGCAAACATTTAATAATTATTTGTAAGGATTTGCAAACATTGAAGAAAAAATTGTAAGGATTCGCAAACATTTAATAATTATTTGTAAGGATTCGTAAACATTTAAGAATTTAAACATTTAAGGTGTCTAAAACATATTTTGTCTTATGTCTAAAAGATATTCATAGACATGTTTGTATAAATAGACCCAGTGACAGTAACTGGGTAACCGGTGAATATAAATTGTTTATTAGAAAGAAATGCGGGGAACTCTTGTATTGAAGATTGTAGATGTAAATTACAATTTTAGTTTTATCGCTCAAAATTTTTAGAGGGAAGTGGGTATGAGTGTTTGCACAGTTAGGGATAATATGATGATACAGCACTAAATCACGAGTCTCCAGAAAAGAGCTCCTTCTGGAGCTAGTTTCAATTATGGGATGACTCTTTGACATGAGCTTCATGACCAACTGAATTGCAGATGCATAATAACTAACAGTTCATTCATTTCTGCAGATGAACAAATCTAGAGCTTTTATATTCCTTATTCCCTTCCCATTCCCTTCCTTATATAAATATATTTGAGAAGAGTGATGACATACTTTCCATGGCTGAAAATTTGAAAGTTTTGCTAGTCTATTCTGATTCCTCAGGGAAGCTGGTTTTTCTCTGCTTGAATACATTGCTTGCAGAGCATGTGCTACAGAATAAACTGCATTGTAGATATTGTAGCTCTCTCCAGACATGGTCATTTCAAACACAGAGTTGGGGACTCTCGCTAGTTTTTCCTTCCCAGTGCAATGTTTTGCTCCTTTGGGATATGGAGGGAAAGAACAGGAAAATACAGACTCCCAGAACCAATCGATATAAAATGAGGAGTGTAAATAAGAGCTTATATTCCCAAGAAATTCCTGAAAATGTGGCACCGTATTAGTGTGGAGTGAGAAGTATAAAGAACCATTGAAAGTCTGGGTTGGAAAACTCCTGACTGGGATTGTCATAACAGTGAAATCCCACTGAGATGTCACAATCCACACTCTGTGGTATATTGACTTTTTATTGTGTTTTTCAGATAAATACAAAGCCCATTGTAAAGCCTCCATAGATTGGACAGTCCCAGAGGCAAGGAACACACTGATTTTCTTTACTAATAAAGTGTCTTTTATATAAGATATACGTGCAGTAAGGACACCCGCATTTAAGGTTCGATCTCTGAAAAGTGGGATCGACAACATCCAAGCAATGCAAATATCATTCTGGAAGAGCTTTGGCTGGATACTTTGAAGAAAGGCTTCCCCACTTTCATCCTCTGATGCTAGGAGGCCAATCCAGTTCCATTCAAAATGTTTCAGTAAATGAATAATGCCCTCATATTGTATATTTTCATTAGGAACCATACTGAAGAAAAAAGGGAACTGCCTTTTATCACTTAGGATTGGGTCAAAGGACCCATAACCAATCTGTTTGGAGAAAAAATGCATAGAAAATTAAATAGAGTAGAATAACAGAGCTGGAAAGGACATTGGAGGTCTCTTAGGCAGGAAACCCTACACCACTTCGGACAAATGGTTATCTAACATCTTTAAAACTTCCAGCATTGGAGCATTCACAACTTCTGGAGGCAAGTTGTTCCACTGATTAATTGTTCTAACTGTCAGGGAATCTGTCCTTAGTTCTAAGTTGCTTCTCTCCTTGATTAGTTTCCACCCATTGCTTCTTGTCCTGCCTCAGGTGATTTGGAGAATAGTTTGACTCCCTCTTCTTTGTGGCAACCCCTGAGACATCGGAACACTGCTATCATCAATGAAGAGTCGTTTTATGATCCCAAAGAGATTTTAGAAGTTTTCCATTCTCCCAGAATATTAGTTGCTACTGTGACACTGGGGTTGAAATAGAAAAACCCAAAGGTTCCAATCAAGATTTTCATGCAGGAAAAAAATCATAAATTTCTCAACAGAGAACTCCAAGAACTCAGAATTGGAAAATGTCCATCACTGGCTAAAACAGATTGAAAACTAATGTTTACCAAAAAAAATAAATCCATCACTGGCTAAAACGGATAAAAACTAATGTTTACTAAACCCCCCCCCCCCCAAAAAAAAACCCCAACAACAACAGCAACAGAGATGTTCTTTGAACACTTTCACTAAAGAAACTGAAAAATGGTCATACCTATGTAAACTTAGAGTTGTTCAATTACAAAAACCCCAAACTTACCATGAAAATTGTCATGGAAGAAGGAAATCATAAGCTTACAATGAGGGACTTGGAAAACTAAAAACTGGGAAATGTGGTAGACTTCATTGCCAATCTTTTCTCATCACTGGATACCGTAGCTGATACTGAGCATTGGCCTTGTTGCCCTTTTTGCTAAAGAAGCTGATCTGTGAAAAAGGCTCCTACCTGTGGAAACTTATAGGTATTCAAAATGTGGGCCATCTTGATGGAATTGGTGGAGGGAAGGTCACCAATGATAGGCAAGAAGTCTGTTTTGCTCCTCTGGACACAATTGAAGTTGATAGGACTCCCTCGATTCTGAAAAAGAAGATCTAAGGTGTGCTTACTGGCCTCCCTGACACTGAAACTGTTCTCATAAGTATCCAGGACTAGTGTGGTGTTAAGGAATGTCTTGATGTTCTTGTTGATCTCATAAATGGTAAAATACATAGAAAGAGCATGCTGGAAGATTTTGGGTATCAGGCTGAAATAAAAGTGCACAAGGACACATAATTATAACAAGAACTGCATCTAATTGTAAACCATATAGGCAATTTCAGCAATTTGTGTAGAGAGGAATAATTCTAGATTTCAGTGAAAGTGTTTTTTTATTTTATTTTAATTTATTTTTGAAAGTCCTTTTGAAAGACTAGGAACACCAGTTTATTAACTTTATCAGTCAACCTTGGCTGGATATATGTTAATCTTGGGAAGTATTGTAAATTTTATGATCAGGAATATAAAATAAACTTTTGGTTCACATTTTGCTGACATTTTCAAGTTCCTTCTTTCAATCACTGTTGTGGAAAGGTTTTCTTAAGGCTATTGCTTGAAAGTTATCACCTATCTTGCTTCTTCAGCAACTGCTGTAAAGATTTATATGCAACCACACGCTTCAATCAATAAATGGTAAAATTTAAGATGAAAATAAATCTTCACATTGTTCTTTCAAATCTACAAATTTTACCTATTATTTTTTCATCCACTGGCATCAGAAAATAAACTAAGATGCTAAGAACTCCAATTTTTTCTTAGGGGAATCTCTTGGAATTGTAGTCCCTTTGAAATTCTTCTCTTATAGGGTTTCTAAACATAATTATACTTTCAGTTTGTAATAATCAGATAAATGCTTTGAAAGTCCCCAGTATTAACTACAGTAATACCTTGCTACTCAATTGCTTTGAAACTCATCAAAATTGGAACTCACTGCATTTTGATGGGAAACCTTTGTCCCAGTATTCATCATTTGTTTGGATGCACAAGCTAGAACTTGTGTGTATTTGGCTGCCTTATGATTCACAACATTATCCTTATGATTTTCAAAGTATTCATTGTTTTTAGTATTCATTATGCTTCCTGGAATGAATTAATGATGAGGAACAAGGTACCACTGAATATAGAAAAAGATTAGTAGCTTAATGACCCAAATTTTCCATGATTTCTATGGTACTTCAATTCTTTACTTAGAGAGGAACACTCTTGTTTTTCACACAAAAAAATCAGTTTTCTGGAGGTTTATGTTAAAATGCATTTTCAGATTATTTCATCCGTAAGGTAGTTCATTATAATACAAGAAGGGCTAACATTTATGTTTTCATAAGGGACACCTCTCAGTGAAAGAAATGCTCAAAATATCTAATATCCCTAAATGGAGCAGCAAAGGGACCGGTGCCACATTTAAACCAGAATAATCTATTCCTTTCCTTCATTCTGTCATCTTTCTCTGAAGATTGCCCTTCATTCAAAAATGAAGCAGGCACTTACTTTCCAGATGTAGATACTTTGGGCTGTTTGTTGAAAGTCTGTATCCGTTCATGAATATTTATAAAGGAAATAAGTCCCCCAAGTATCAATTCAGATCTGAAGTTGTGAAATTTCCCAGGAATATTGGAGGGCTGGATGCAGATGGATTTCAAACTCTCATGGACACTCTCAGGAAGGAAAAAGAAGAGCAGAATAATTTTAAAAGAGAGGAATCGTGGTTCACCATCCCATCTTTTCAAGTGCATGTTCAGCAAAATATAGCTGTCACCTTTGCAAGGAACTATTGCCTTGACTAGAACTAAACTGAAAGGCTGTTTTTTTTAAAGCAAAAATATATTTTAAAAAGTTGGATGGTAAAATCTCCCAGTTAGAACTCTTTATCTTATTCTGCTAGTCAGAATCTCAGATTTCAGTGGCAGAAGGCAAAGTTGCCATATTGGCACTTTTTCAAAAGGTGGCACATCAGACCTATCTTTTCACCTATCAGTTCTTGTGCAGTTATGATATACTGCCAAACAAACAGAACTGGAGCACACTCAGACTGATAATTAGAAGGTAAGTAACAATCTTCTCCAAGTTCTCTATTCCCTAGTAAATGGCTAATGGAGTCCCTGTGGATTTTATTCTGCTAGTAGTGCCGACTATAGAGAGTAGTGTTCAACTCCATTTCAAAGCCATTGAGCCACTGTCCAAAGACATTTCTGCAGCCATATGGCTAGCCTGATGTCGCAGAGCTCTGTTAACCTTATTCCCTAGTGATTTAGAGAAACTTTGCTTATGTGTCTATGGAGACTCTAAGTCATTCAGGTCATGGTTGCCCCAAAAGTACTTTGTCAAGAGGCAACTGGACTTTCTGGTTCTTCTTTGAAGATGTTTCACTTCTTTATCCAAGAAGTTTTTTCAGCTCTAACTGGATGGTGGGGAAAGGAAGGTTTTATACTCCTTGCAGACAGCTAGTCATTTGCATTCCTTTGGAGCCACTTGGAGGTTTATCTGTGTCCTCAGGGTCACCTGAGTGCTGCAAATGGATGTGGAGCCTTCTTGGTTGCGTGATGTTTTCTGCCTTGTGTGTGTCTTCACTGTTGAAGATAGGTACAGGCTGTTGGGGATGAGTCTGTGTTGTCTGCATCTGGTGCAAATACCTGTATTTTTCAGAGTATAAGACACGCTTCCCCCCAAAAAAGAGTGAAAATCTGGGTGCATCTTATACACTGAATACAGTATTTTTTAGCCTTGCCCTCTTTTCAAAAATGGATGTGCAGAGGATTTGGGATGCTTGCTTCTGGGAGCTGGAGAGGACAAAAACAAATGAAAAATGGGTTGGTTTTGCTCGTTTTTGCCCCCCCCCAGCCCCCAGGAGCACTTTGGAGGCTTCTCAAAGTCTCTGCATCCCACTTTTTCACAAAAATTGAGGTGTGCAGAGAGTTTGAGAGGCCTGCAAAATGCAAAAACTTCTTTTTAATTTACCTCTTCAAAAACTTGGCGCGTCTTATACTCTGGTGCGTCTTGTAGTCTGAAAAATACAGTAGTTCAAATGTAAGGTGACCAGATTTTCAGATTGGTAAAGAGGGGCACCCTTGACCGGGGGGGGGGCCTTGATTAAAAAATTTATACGGAGCAACAAAAATTTTCATACAACACAAAAATAGTATTGTA